GGTGGTTTCTGATGCAGCTCCTGCCACTTGTCCAGGAGGGCACGGGAAGGGGCATTTGCCCCGGATCTATACGGGGTGGGGCAGGACAGGCTGCAGCTGCAAGCTGAGGCCAAGGGCTGCACTGCATTCCCCCCCCGCTTCCACCACAACAGACTTACCAGCTGCATGCAGCTCTCCACGCGGCCAGTCTGTGCTTCTTGCTGGCTGCGCGCACACACAGGGATTTATCAGCCAAATTATCACCCACTTCAGGCTGATTTCCGATATAGTCAATTTTCTTTATATTGGTGCCAATCCAATATTAGACCAAAGTATCAGTGCACCTCTATCAAGAGTTTCCCCCTAGTTGTCCTCTCTACCATCTGTATCAAAAAGTTATCACCAACACACTCCACGAATTTGCTGGACTGCTGGTGCAGTGCTTTCTTCCCAGCAGATGTCCCAATAATTAAAGTCCCCCATGAGAATGAAGTGGTATGATTTGGAAGCTTCCATCAGTTGTCTAAAGAAGGCATCTTTCACCTCCTGGTTTGGTAGCCTGTAGCAGACACTCACCATGACACTCCTCCCCCACCAGTGTCTCTCCCCTCTGACCTTTACCCAGAAGGTTTCAACAGGCCTACATTCCACTTTGTACTGTACCTCAGAACACGTGTACATCACCTTTATGTATAGGACAGCACCTTCTCCTTTGTTCCCCTTACTATTCTGAACAAGCTGTACCCATCCATGACCATACTTCAGTCGTGCTATTTCCTGCTTCCTCCTCTTTTGCTACTTTCTGGGGAAAAAATCCCAGTTCATCCTTCACTCAGCAAGCTTACAGTTAAGGAATGGTGAGAAGGAAAATGATAATAGCTCTTTGACCTAGATGAGATTCCAAAGGTGACTACAGCTAAACCTAAGGCTAAATGGAAAGAACACTTAAGTGCTCCTTCATGTAGTGAGATATGTGAAAGCAACAGAAACCACCACACAAGAATAACAGCTGCATAGCAACACCAGAGCAAAAACCAACCAAGGGAAAGTAAGGTTTGTTCTGGGACTGGCAAATGCAGGGGCTATGGGGCTCCTTGACAAGTGGTGTGAATGTGTTAGGGCAGGGGTCAGCAACCTCTTGCTTATGGTGGGCTACAGCTTGTAATCCTGCTGCTGCTGCAGGCCACTGATACCCAGCTTGCATGTCTACATGAGTTGCTTTACTGTGCAACAGATTAATTTGCTGCTCAGTAAAGCATCACCATCTGTATGTGTGCAGCTATTAGGGCTTACAGAGCTAATTAACACCACAGCAAGGTAGTCTTGTAAAATTCAAGTATTATCGTGCTAAAGAGTTTTTTTGTGTGCAGGAGCGAACATTTAGACACTGTCCTGGCTGGCTGGGGCATGGGGTGTTTCAGTGAAGGACTAGCTGGCAGGGAACCCAGCCAACCATGGAGCAGCATGTGGAACTGGGGGAGCAGCCAGCCCAGACTTCTCCAACCAGGCTCCATGTGGTGTGCACAAATAAATTGCAGAGGAATATGCTCCAGAGCTTTTTGCTTCTGGGTGCACATTCAAATGGTGTGCTTGGGAGCAAAAACCTGCAAAGCAATAAGCTCTAGAGTTTATTGATCTGCATTAATTGGATGTGCAGATACACCCAGCTTCCCTTACAGCTGTCCCCGCTCTGTGTAGAGGGACACCCCCCCCCACCCCCGTGCAGTCTCTGCTGAAAAACATAGTGCTGAAAAGTGATGTGTGATAACTGAAAGTCTGGTGTGGCTAAACTGGCGGTGACAGTAAGCAAAGACTGCAGTGGCAGGGTGAGAGAGCATGCCTTCTGCACAGAGCAGGGATGGCCGTAGGGTGTCAGGATTTAGTAAAACATGGGTAGATCAGACCTTTGTGGACCCAGTCAAATCTCTTTGCAGGCTGGATATAGCTCATGGGCTGTAGGCTGCCGACTGCTATGTTAAAGAGAGGAAAGTGTGGGAAAGGATTGTGATCCTGACCCTGACAGGGAGCAGAAAGACAGCTTATATAGGTACAGAGCTCACTAAAGAGACAAGAGGAAATACTAAGAAAGGAAATTGCCTGCTGTTGTGTGTTTTGTATACTTTCTTTGTAAATAAACAGGTTTGTCCTGAGAAATAGACCTGACTTGAATTATCAGTTTCTTCTCCAGCTGCTTTCAACCTTTATGTATAGAGCAAGAGATATAACATGATGATGATACTACTACTACTACTAATAATAATAATAATAGCAGTAGTAGTAGTAATGGTAAGAGCTAGAAGTGAATCTGAAAGATCTTAAATATTGGCCAACCTGCCAGGTTAAAAGGGACAACATATATTCTTCACAAAAGTCTGAATTAAAGTGAAGTTACAGGTGCTGCCTATGCCAGTGTTTGACTCTATGATACTTTGACTCTACCATAGTAGAGGTGTAACAATGTAGTATTCTCAGATTTTAGAAATTATTTTGCAATGCTTTTATCATATGGCTTAAAACCATTCTAAAATATTTTAATGCTACTGAAATTTTAAAAATAAACAATTCCTAAAAGTCATAAGGAAGTAGCAAAAGATCAAGTTTAAACATAAGGACATCTTGTGTGGGTAGATTCTTAGTATTTGTTATGTTATGTTTTACTTCCTTATTCCTCTCTTTCTTTTTGCTCAGCTAAAGAACTGAAAATATGTCACTAGAATAGGAGCTTCTTGGGCTTTGAAAAATACAAGTTGACCTCAGATTTACTTTTCTCAATTTTTCTTGTATTATGTTCATAAGTGGACTTAAGACACCTGAGTGTGATATTATTATTATTATTATTATTATTCCACTCTGCTAGAGTGCCTGAAAAACAGTTAATGAAAAAAGTGAATGAGTCTTCCTCCTGTTCACTGCTTTTTCATTCTTAAGGATAAGATGAGAATATATTACAAAAATAGATGTACGTAAAATAACTGCTTGTTGTGTCAGGTTTATAGATGAGACAGTGATAAATATATAGGACTGGATTTTGAAGTCAGTTTGGGGTACATCCAGGCAATGAATGTAATTTTTTAATTATAGGGCCAGGAGGAACTATTGTGATCATATAGTCTAATTCATTGTGTAATACAGTCCATGAGAGTTTCCTGTACTAGATCTGTCTTCAGTTCCAAAAATTGTGCTTGAACTACAGCATGTCTTTTTTAGAAAAAGCTTCAGTCCGCAAAAATAGCCAGTGATAAAGACTCCCCTAAAGCCCCTGAAAAGTTAAAAAAAAATAATTAAACACACAGTTGTTTTAAAAAAAGATGGGGCATATTTCTAGTGTGAATTTGTCTAGCTTCAACTTTCAGCCATTGAATCTAGTCATGCACTGTGGTTTGTCAGATTGAAGAGCCCTGTATTGTCAATTTTCTGTTTTCTGTAGGTACTTCTAAGCTGTGATGAAGACACCCCTTAATTTTTTCTTTGACAAACTAAATAAAAAGCTTCCCAATCCATGATTTTTTCTTAATTTCCTTGAACCCTCTCCAAGTCTGCAACATCTGTCCTGTTTATAGACTCCAGAGCTGGACACAGTAGTTTTGGTAACCCTTACCAAGATGCCAAATGCAGAGGTAATGTCCCTAGTCCTACTTAGTATTCCCTTGGCTATATATCCAATGATCCCCTAAGTACTTTTAGCCATAGCATTACATATGGGTGCCCATGATGTTGCACCGATTTGATGTGTGATATTTGGACCTGTGGGGAGCCTGCTGCACTAGATCCTGCAGCTCTGCAAACTAGATCGAGCATGCAGGGCCAAGGCAGCTCACAGCCCACTTGGGATGCGTGGGGCCAGGCCAAGGCAGTGTAGGGCCCAATTCAGGCATGTGGAGCCCAACCCCCTCCCCCAAAAAGGATTTGGCCCATGCACTAGCTTTAATAGTACTCATGGAGCCCATGGGGCTGAAAGACTGAGCACCACTGCTATAATAAACCATAACATCAGTGGGTAACATTAAAGATAATAATATCCTATTTTATGTTATTGTACAATTATATTATTAGAATAACAGCAGTAGCATCTTGGGAGATATAATATTACTGAACACTTGCATGTCAGCAATAACCACTGCAGTATTACGGTAAGGCGTATCAATGGTAAACAATAGCATGACTCAAAACAAAATTTGGTTTTTTTAACCAAAAACATCTGCCACCACAGAGGACCCTCCCCCCCCTTTCCCCCATATAAGTTTAATGTTAGTATAGTTTTGCTTCAAAATATCACAGTCAATTAAAATAATATACAATTAATATTACTTGGGAAAATAGATGTAGACACATTCTTTCCATCCTGATTTTTTCCGTGAATGAAATGAGTTGTAGCTCTGTTTTAAAAGTGACTTTTAGGCTGTTTCCAGATACGTGCAGCCATGCAGCATGTGGTGCTGCAGACACGTCTGTTGCGCCACATACCACATGTTCAGTTGTTCTCTGTGCTGCAAGTTTTTTTGACCCCTGGATACGAAAGCTGCCCAGCAAGGTGTGCTGCCGCTAGTTGTCCCTGGGGAACCAAACATCCACAAGTGGAGCTTTAGAGTGGTTTTCAGAAGTTTTACAAACATTAAGTTTTTGTGGCAGTTTGAGTGAAATAAGTGCTTCAGTAGTTAAGTCTAATACTAAATTTCAGAGTGAAATCCAATTCAGGGAAGGTAAAGTGAGCAGATTATCCCACATCTGCCAACCACAGGGATCTTGCATCTTCCTCTGGAACTTCTGGTATTAGTCATTGTCAGAGGTGGGATATGGGACTGGGCCTCCAGTCTCATCCAGTAGGACAATTCCTATGAGATATCCAAAGGAAATAATCAAAGTTTCCTGCCCAATATCATTCTGCATTTGGCAAAGACAAATATGAGTAGTGTTTACAGTTTAAGGTTTCTTTAGAAAATAAGTACCACTGCTCTTTAGCAAATGTTTCTTCCAGGCCTTAATGCATGCATGGTCCCTTTTTTTATTCCTTTTTCCAGCAGAACAGTATTGTTCTTTGCCTCCTCCTATGAATATTCGTTTTGAATCTAGTAACATGAAGAATGTCCTGCATTGGTCACCACCAGAAGGTGTGGGAGATGGAGTATTCTACAGGGTGAAGTATTTAGTGTAAGTGTGCCTTATTGGCTTTACTCCTTTCCTTTTTTTCTAGTTTAAATACCTAAACAGCTATACAAAAGTAAAGACATTTTTTTAGTGTGAAACTAGGCTTAGAGATCTAAGGTATATGGTGGGGAGCGGGGTGGTAAGTATTTCTTCAGTGTCATATCATTTAAATCCAAAAAAAGGTATTGAAGAAGTACAAAAAAGTTCTTGTGAGGATGTTAGGGAGAACTGAGAGTTCCCACTACCCCTAGGTCAGCTGGGGACAGCACTCACAGGCAGGAGAGGGGTAGCTCCTGGCTGATGTTCCCATAGCGTGGTCTGAAAGAGAGCGCAACTGAACCGTTGCACTAGGGCTTAGATTTTCCAAAGGTTTCTGCCATTTCTGCTTCTGACCGAAAACCTGAAAGAGCTATTTCATTTGCCAGACACAAGAGAATATAGACTATACCCCTTATGTTGTCACTTTGCCTTGAGAGAGACAGCATAGATTGTTCATGCTCAAGGATCCCCTTATACTGGGAGAGTCTTGCAGGCTGGCTAAATTGACAAAATGACTTTCACAGGCAAAGTGGTCCTGAGCAGGTTGGAAAATAGGATTTAGTAGTCATTTACTGTAAACAGATGCCTTTCTTATGTGTGCATTGAAATGATTGCCCACCATGTGTGGCTTAATAAAAAGTTGATAAAAGAGCCACACCCTTATTGATATCTGTGGTATACAGCTCTCAAGTTAGTGTACATATAGAGCAGGGGCGGGCAATTATTTTGGGCAGAGAGCTGCTTACTGAGTTTTGGCAAGCCATTAAGGGCTGCATGACAGGCAGCCCAGGGCAGATAAATATTAATTTTCTAAATTTTTTAGGGGCCCTGCAGGCCAGAAAGAATGGCCTGGCGGGCTGCATCCAGCCCCTGGGCCGCATTTTGCCCACCCCGATATAGAGCATTGCCCGCTGCTGGATGGAGTTTATGATTAATTATATTGCACCGCGGCTATGACTCTCAACCAAGGTAACACAGCACCCTGGGGTGTTTTGAGATCCTTTCAAGGGTGCCACATAATGTTAACACTGGTATATTTGTTAGGTATACAAATATAATTCACAAGATAAACCCAAAAATTTCACACAGGAATCCATAGTGTCAAAAACCATGACCTGTTGTGGGCTTCCTGAGTTCTTTGCAACAGAAGAATTGCACTTATTATTTTTTTCATACTAAACAAAAAAGTGAAATCTAAGCACTGTCATTTTCCAACGGGCTTCTTGAGTCTATCAAGGAGTACCTCGAGTCAAAAAAGGTTGAGAGCCACCGCACTGCTGTTTACTGCTTTATAAAGAGGGTCTACAACTTTAATAATTACCATTAGCTGGTAGAAGTTTTCTCCAGGTCAAGTGGTAGACTTCTGGAGATCTGCAAGCAGAAGCTGCTGAGGAGAGCTGGTCAGGAATTTTTCAGTGAAATATTTTTTGTCAGAAAATGTCAAAAATGAAATTTTTTGTAGGAACATCCAGACCAGTTTCAACCCAAAAATTATCTTGTGTCTACTAGGTTAATCATGGACCTCTTTTTGGTCTAGATGAAAGGGAGGGAGCGAGATCTGCCTGTCCCAGAATAGCCTAGTGGTCTGGGCACTAGGCTGCAATGTAGAAGACCCTACTTCAGTTCAGGGACTTACTTGAGCATCAAGTCACACCTACACAACAAACTTATTTTACCTGGCTTTAGTAAAATGCTGCACTCCGCAACATAGGCAGCCTCCTAATGTAGACGTCGAGCTACATCCACAGTGTTGTGGGTAAGCCAATTGGCACAGGGCAAGCGTAATTGAGACTACATTAATTAGCCCCCCTGAAGTAGTGTACAAATACAGAATGCACTGCTTTTGGATTAGGGGGCCTCCCATGTGGAGCAGCACAGCATGTTTGAGACTGCAGCTGCCCTGTATACATGGCAAATTTGCCATACCATGCCTTCAGTCTCCTAGATCTCATACGTAGGGTTCGAAATACAACCCCCACCTCCCATAAGAGACGAGAGCCCTGTGCCTTTCTAAGCAACTCAGGTGGCAGCTCCTTCTGGTTTATGGCTGCCACTGCTGTAGACCTTCCCCCACCCAAGAGTCAGAGTATAATTTGAACCCTGCTCACATAATTGCCTTGATCAGCAAGACATTGGATACTTTGGCTTGGATGTTTCTCAGCCACTTCTAAAGGAACTGTTTTGCTTTTTATATAAAATAGTCATTGGGGCAGAAAGACAGCAAGAGAGACTAACACCGTAGGCCAGCATTTAGGGCGCTCACATTGGAGATGGTAGAGTAGGGAAGAAGTACTTGATCTGCTGAGGTAGAGCTAGAACTTGAACATGGATCTTCCACAACCTGGGGGAGTTCCCTAACCAGTGAGCTGCTGCCTAGTTTGTGTGGATCATGCCTTATTTTTCATGAAAGCTTTGAAACTTCTTGGGTTCATCCATGTATAAAGTTGGAAACTTTTTGAAATTTTTTGTGGGATGGGAAAACTGTTGCTGCAACAGTTTTGCATGTCCTGCTCTAGTTCCATGTTCTGTGTGCAGCTTACCAAGTGAATAGGGTGTCTGTGGCCGTAGTTTTTTGTTCAGCTCTTTTGTTTCTTTTTAATGTAGATATGGCGAAAATAAATGGATTAAAAAGTCAGAATGCCAGAACATCGATAGAACATGGTGTGATCTCTCCAGTGATACCTATGACCATGAAAAACAGTACTATGCAAGTGTTAAAGCCTTCTTAGAAAGAAACTGTTCCAGCTGGGTAGAGACCGAACGGTTCAATCCTCTCACAGACAGTAAGGAAAGAACATAAAATTAGGTGTCAGTAGCATTTATTAAATTGTTTATTTATATTGCTTAACTTGGAGTGTTCTCCTGTAGGTGCACAGAACAATGCATGCATTTCTCCCCTCTCCACTTTTATTGACAGAACTTGTTGGAGTATATCCTATAAGAGTTTGACTTTATATCTCAGTTTCATATAAAGTACTTTTGGTGATGTGCCTACTGTACACTGAATAAAGTCTGAAGCAATGGTAATATTTTACTGTAGTGAAGGCAGACAACAGTGAATTCAAGATGTGGAAAACGCATCTTAAGAAAAAGTAATGCTCTGAAGTACATAGTAAATGTTTTTTTTTCTGTCTTATAGTCCTTTCTAACCAGGGCAGAGCTATAACAGTAGCATAGTACAGTCTCCTATCTATATTAAAAAGAAATCATTGTCTTTTAGTAAGCTGAAACCTTAGGCACATCAACATAACTCAAGTCATGTAAAGTTCAAAATTACAAGTCTGGCAAAACTCCAAGTCAAGTTATATCCACATTGTCACAATTAAGGCTTTACCTGGAGAATAATTTTATTATTTACCTGGAGAATAATTTTCTTCCATTATAAATGGAATTATTCAAGGTTGGGGCCAAGCAAAGTATCACTACATTTAATGTAATCTAATGTTTAGGTATTTTAATACCATCTTTATCAGTTTGCTTTGCTTTCTGAAATGGTTTTACATAATATTAAACACATTATTTTCCAGCCCAGATTGATCCACCAGCAGTCACTGTGTCATCTACTGAAAAATCAATTTCAATTGTTCTGACTGCTCCTGAGAAATGGAAAAGAACTCCTGAGGACAAATCTGTACCTTTGGTTCATATTTACTCTGTTTTGCAATATAATGTGTCTGTCCTCAACAAAAAAACAAACAAGAAGGTAAGCTGAAAACGGTTGTAGCAGCATATGTATTGAACCTGCACCTGGGGCTTACTAGGGCTTGCATTGTAACTAGTAACATGGAGGGTATAGTCCAGTATTTTAAATAGAATTCTATAGCACCATGTATCTGGTGGCAATACTTTCATAATGTATTGCAAACAAACAAATCCATTTGGCTGCATCTGAACTTTGCTCATTGTTCCAGGTCACCAGACTTAATGCTAACCTTCTGGATCAAAGAGTAGGTTTTCTAAGGTGCATCTGAGGTTGGGCTGTTTTGGATTGGGGAGGGGGTTGGATTGGATTGGGGCCCCCAATTTGGGGGCGGGGGTTCAGTGACTTGATTCTTGATATGGAAATATGTATTCATCCTTCCCCACAAATACAGTGCTCTGAAGTTCAAATATAAACAAGTAATAACTGTTTCTAAGTCATGTCCAATTTCTCACAGCCTTATAAGGCTTTATACCATGGAGAATTTCCCCATTTTGAGCAGAACTTTGCAAGATGTAAGCTTTTAAAAGTATCAGAATACTGTTTAAAGAAAAGTAGCCCTTTTGTAACTAGGAAATTTATTTTAGATTTTTTGAGGTACTTGAAACGTAATTATTTTAAAATCTGCCTTCATGATCTATACAGTTAAGGGGAGTTCCTGAATCATCTCATTTTACCAGGAAAGGATTAAAAATGTAATCCTGATGCAAAAATATTGTAAAACTAACACATGCATTAAATGGGGTTTTGGTAGTGTGCGTAGCAGGTAGAAAATTAAGGGTGCAGCCTAAGAATTTTACTGAGATGTCCTACATGATTCACTCTCCTTTACTCATGAATACTCTAGCTGACCTTTATATTACCCTATTAATATGTTGCTGTTTCTATAAAATTAATAAAAGATGCATAGATATTACAAGTGAACTGTGTATAGATATTCTTGGCAGCTGTTTCTCTTGTGAAGTCCTATCTTTCTTTCCTAATGTAGCAGGACTTCACCAGTATTATTCAATAGTGGTTGTTCTTTCCAACCACAAAAAGAAAAATAGCAGGGCCTGATTAAGGCAAAGGTAAAACACATTAGCTT